GTCCTGCTTGTCAATACCACATCAGCAAGTCTGTTCATTTAATGATCAGAATGTAATGTTGCACTGTATTCTGAATAAAGGGTAAACATACAGAACCAAAGCATAACTCCAAGTAACCATAGTGAGTCTCTCCATTTAAAATCATCTACCTGGGTATAAAGTGAGTTATTCTGAGCATTTTTTTCTGTCCCAACTAGTCCAGTGTTTTATTTCATATTTGGGTTGAAATGAAGTGCTACTGGGTAGCATTTCAAGCTAGGGTAAGATTTCTCTCCAATAGTGCTGACTGAACCCGAAGGTATTTCAGGTTAACCATTACACCATTAAAGTAATGTGCTAGAACAGTCTGTCCAGCAATCATGCTTAATTCTGTACATGTTAACTCTACTGGGAATAATTAAGAGCTAGATGTTTTTCAAGAAGCCTTGGGAAAACTAAAGGGAATAAGGCTAAGTTTACTTCTGAGTTTCCACAAATGAAGCTAGTTACATACAACTGTACTGCAGATTACATGCGTACTAAAAACCTGGTGACTACGTGATTGGGGAAAGGAAACAAGGGCCTTTTTAGATACATCTAGTTAAGAGGGAACCCAAGAGTTTAAGAAGACTGAAATAGAATAATACACCTGTTCTTTCCTAATGTGATCATAAAATACATTGACATTAGTAAATAAATTTTACCCAGAGGTTAATCACATTTATACACAATGACAACACATTTTTCAAAAAAGTGATTTTACAAATAGACAAAACTGGGTGTTATGCTTTTAATGGAGGCAGATACAAAATGCATCAATGCAAAACAATGTTTTCCATACGCATTAACATAGTGATATTGTAAATTTTATTGTGATAATGTAAAACACAGCATGTTAGAACTCAGAAAAGAAACTACATTTGCTGCAGCCTAATAAGATATTAGAAAGTCTCTATAACTTGTTTTTTACCCACCACCTTTATTGTAATTTCTAAATGGTATCTGAGAGGAGATTAAAAAGTATACAAAGCTCTTTTCACCTAGTGGTTCAAAAGAACTGTAGTGAAACTGAGTTGAATGACATCTTGAGACCATAAAATTTCCCCAAGAAGTATTTCCAATAGCATAAGCAATTAAGAGGCTTAATGGTTTCAAAGCCTGGAAAGCAGCAAAGATATCTTATTTGAGAACTGAATTTAAAACAAAGACTTCTTTTAAAGCATGGGTGTGACTTTAAGGATTTTAAGAAAACATAGTTTTCATAAAGCTTCAATGAACACTGCAAGGCACAAATGTTGAAAACAGCCTGTTCACTAAAATGTCACTCCATTGTACTTTTGGAGGTACAGGTATGCTGTGCTTGCAGTAAGAGGACATCTTTATCCCTACATAAAAGCACCAGGTGTCAAACTCAGCTTCCACCTGCACAGGATGCACCAGTAATCCCCAGGGTAGTGAATGGTTCAAGTATGTATATATTACACTTCCAACATGTCTTGCCTATTTAATCTGAGGGCACTGGGGTCTTTTAAAAGCTGTAGTCTGTAGAACATCGTGAAAGAGGCTAGAACTAACCTGAAAATAGTCCAGTTCTAAAAGAGCTCACTACATACTAACATTTAGAGAAAGTAATAAAAACAATTTGTAGTAGCTGAATTTCTTTCAAATGAAGAGAAATTATAGAACTGACATGTAGGCTAAAATGTTTGGTAATTAATGTCAAAATTGTCAAGGTTATTAATAGACATTTTGGTAATCACTGTATTGGTAAGGTTGATTATTTGTGCAAAATACACTATAAACAAAAATCACAGAACACTAACAGAAGAATACAATAAACTAAAGGGCACTCAAAAGGTTAGAGAAGTTTACTAGCTTTAGAATACATCAATATGCTTTGATTACAGAAATAGTTCATTTTTAAAACTATACAGTGTTTTAATGTACTTTGAGTAACAGCCCAGTCTAAGGAACCTTGGAGGGTTGTGAAAAAGACCTATCTGTCTACCAAGATGTTGCATCTCTAGGGTGGGGGTGACTTAAATTAATACTTCTGTAAGAAGGAAGGAACTAAATCACCATAGCATCAATAACAGCCTTTTTCTTTTACATAGTAACTCATAATCTGATGATTTATTTCACTTCACTAGTTCAAAATTAGGTAGGAAAGAAACTAAGCTGACTGGTCAGACCCAGAAACAATAATTTGGCAAGCGCGGTCACTCAGCTCATGGAGGTGTGTAATCTGCAGAAAAAGCTGCTGGACTCCAGTCATCTATTCTTTCACATCTGTAAAGAGAGGTCCACAGATAAGTTACTTCACTGGAGGATTAAAGCAAATTCTTCCCACCTTAAAACTGATTATTCAATACAGGCATATGGCATTTTATTACACTTTATAGATACATTAGAAATTTGCAGGTTTGAGGACAGAGATGTGAGGATAAAAATTTTTTTAAATAAATATGTTTAAGGGTTTGTGGCAATGTTGCATCCAGCAGTTCTATCAGGACCATTTTTAAAACAGTATGTGCTTAAAAAAATAAAACAGTATATGCTTTGTGTCTATTCTCACATTATTTCAAATTTTTCATCATTTGTTATAAATAGATGATAAGTGACCTTTGATATTTTCAAGTGCCAAAAACTGCACTCAAAAATGATAACTGATAAACATGTTATTTTTTTAAATTTTTGGGAGGAGGGGAGACAGTCTTACAATGTCATCCTCCATACAGTGCTGTAGTGTTACTGCTCACAGCAACCTCAAACTCTTGGGCTTAAGTGATTCTCTCGCCTCAGCCTCCCAGGTACAATTGCTGGGACTACAGACACTTGCCACAATGCCTATCTACTTTTTTGTTGCAGTTATCATTGTTCAGCTGGCCCAGGCCAGATTCAAACCCTCCAGCCTCAATGCTGTGCCAGTGTGTGTTCTGATCGCTCCATCAACCGGCCATTTCTCTGTCTCTCTCTTGCTTTCCTTGGGCCTCCCTATTCTATGACACACTGTACTGAAATTAGGCCAACTAATGACACTACAATGGCCTCTACATGCGCCAAGTAAAAGGAAGAACCCACATCTGTCACTTTTTTTTTTTTTTTTGCAGTTTTTGGCCAGGGCTGGGTTTGAACCTGCCACTTCTGGCATATGGGCCAGCGCCCTATTCCTTTGAGCCACAAGTGCTGCCCCACATCTGTCACTTTTAATCAAAGGATAGAAATGACTAAGTTTAGTGAGGAAGGCATGTTCAAAGAAAGGCTGAAAGCTAGGCATCTTGCACCAAGTATAAATACAAAGGAAAAGTTCTTGAAACTAAAAGTGCCTACTCCAGTAAACACATGAATACCAGATGTAGTGGCTCACACCTGTAATCCTAGAATTCTGTGGGAGGTCTCTAACTCCTGAGCCAGGCAACCCATCCACCTCAGCCTCCCAGAGTGCTAGGATTACAAGTAAAGGCCACTGCACCAGCCAACAATTGTTTTCATTTAAAAACTTCATGAGCAGCTCGGCGCCTGTGGCTCAAGTGGCTAAGGCGTCAGCCACATACACCCAAGGTGGCAGGTTTGAATCCAGCCCGGGCCCACCAAACAACAATGACGGCTGCAACCAAAAAATAGCCGGGCGTTGTGGCTGGCGCCTGTGGTCCCAGCTACTTGGGAGGCTGAGGCAGGAGACTCGCTTGAGCCCAGGAATTGGAGGTTGCTATGAGCTGTGATGCCACAGCACTCTACCCAGGGGGACAGCTTGAGGCTCCTGTCTCAGAAAAAAACTTCATGAGCAGAGGTCAAAGTATCAGCATTAAGAGCAGTTTGGAAGAAACTGATTTCAACTCATGGATGATCTGGGGGGAATTAAGACTTCAGAGGAGGAAGTAACTGCAGATGTGGTAGAAATAGCAAGATAACTAGAATTAGAAGTGGAACCTGAAGATGTGAATGTCTAAAAGAGTAAAGAAAGTGGCTTTTGTTTTTTTTTACTTAAAAGTGGCTGTGGACTCAGTGCCTGTAGCTCAGCGGCTAGGATGCCAGCTACATACATCAGAGCTGGTGGGTTCAAATCCAGCCCAGGCCTGCCAAATCACAATGACAAGTACAACCAAAAAACAGCCAGCATTGTGGCCGGAACCTGTAGTCCTAGCTACTCAGGAGGCTAAGGCAAGAGAATCGCTTAAGCCCAAGAGTTTGAGGTTGCTGTGAGCTATAACACCATGGCACTCTACCCAGGGTGACAGCTTGAGACTCTGTCTCAAAAAAATAAAAAGTGGCTGTGGTTTCTTGAGATGGAATCTGTGAACACTGTCGAAATGACAAAAAAGAATTCAGAATGTTCTATTAATTTAATTGATAAAACTTATCAGTAGGGTTTGAGAGAACTGACTCTAATGTTGAAATAAGTTCTACTGTGGGCAAAATGTTATCAAACACATTACAGAGAAATTTTTCATGAAAGGAATAGTCAATTGAGATAGCAAATTTCACTGTTATATTAGTTTAAGAAATTGCCACAGCTACTCCAACCTTTAATAACCACCACACTATCAGTCAGCACCCATCAGCACTGAGACAAGACCCTGTATCAGGAAAAATTTCATGACTCACAGATGATGGCTTTTTTAACAATAAAGTTTTTTACTGAAGGTATGTACTTTTTTTGACATATGCTATTATACACTTAACAGATGACAGTACAGTGTAACATAATTTTTATAATGTACTGGGAAACAAAAAGGATCCTGCAACTTGCTCTATTGGCATATTTGCTTTATTGCAATGGTCTGGAACCAAACCCGAGATATCCCTAAGGTATCCCTGGTAAGCTACCTAGACGTAGGTGGGATCTGAAAATTCCTGACATCTACATCTTGAAAGATCCCTTTTGAGAATATCTAGCCCATAAAGCAAGTTCAAGTGAAATATATGAACTTTTTATGAGCTCGCTCTCTCACCCTCATCTGCTTAATACAGATATCATTAACAAGAATCGGTTCAATGAGCAAAGTATGACTTCGTATATAATCTAATCTATGCTATTTGCACTGGTGTGATTACTCACCTGTAGAGGAGTTCGATACAACCACTTCTCTTTATCAGCTTTAAGTTGCATACAAGCAAAGAGATCACAAACTGCAGGGAGGCCATAACGGTTAAGGGGAAAGTTACGTTCTTCTTGTAGAGGTGGATTAAGTAATACTCCCTGCAATGAAATAAGAAGGATGGATTGCTTCATCACAACTAGGAGGCATTAAGTTAGTTAATTCATCTTACAAATTATAATTTAGATGTTGGCCATTCTCTCTTATACCCAAGAGCAAAGGTGACAATTGTTATTTTTACCCCAATGTTTTCTACAAATAGCAGTAAAACAGAGGTCCTTTCTTTCCTGCAGGATGTGACTTGGGGTCTGAAATAATGAAACAAAAACTCCATTTGAATCATCATAAATCTTCCATTCTCATGCTAACATGGCCCTGGAATTATGCCTCAGCCAAACTTAGCTTTTAATATATATGTGGGCCATTATGAAAGTTTTTTGTTTTTAAGACAAACTGCACTCTGTCACCCTTGGTAGAGTGCAATGGTGTCTGACTCTAAAGTTACAGCAACCTTAAACTCCTGGGCTCAACAGTTCCTCTTGCCTCAGCCTCCTGAGAAGCTAAGACTACAGGTGCCTGCCACAATGCCCAGATAGTTTTTCTATTTTGAGTACAGATAGGGTCTTTCTCTTGCTCAGGCTCATCTCAAACGCCTGAGCTCAGATGATCTACCTGCCTCAGCCTCTCAAAGTGCTAGAATTACAAACATGAGCCACCGTGCTCAATTTTGAGATACACAAAAATCAAGAAATGTAAAATCTGCACAGATGGAAACAAATGAAGCACTCCCAGCAACACTGTTTAGCCCATCAAGTTAAAACTTGCACGGGTGAATCAGAAAGGATGCCGTCAACTATGTTTTTTGGAATTGAAATAATGGACCATAACACAGTCTGTCTCAAAACTTTTGTAATGACCCATTTGCAAGGTGAATAGTAAAACTCCAACTCTATTATGACATCTGTGCTCACCTGGGCCTTCTTTCGAAGTAGCCATTTGTCTTCACCAGAGGACAATTGGTTAAGGTTTCCAATCTTTCTTCCTGGCAAGACCCAGTCAGCTGTGTTAAAGGGGCATCGGGAGGTGATCACAGGGTTTTTAAGTTTCTGTTTGCCAGCTCTATCCTCAGTACCAGGCACTTCCTTGGGATGTCCTTCTTTGCTTGGGGGCCTGCTGAGCCATTCTGATAAGGGACTGTTCCTTATGACTTGCAAGGAATCAGCAACTTTAGAAGGAATCATTGCCTTTGGTGCCTTAGCTTGTTCCACTATCTCTTTTCTGGAAGGACAGAGCCACATATTCAGAGAATCTTTATGCTTCTCAGGCTCAGATTTGGGTTCCACACGCATCCCATTTTTATCCTTTCCTTCTTTTTTCAGAAGCCATTTACACAGAGCTTCCTTCTCACAATTCTCATCACACACACACTCTGCAAAGCTTGTGCAGGGCTCATTGGCCTTGCATACCTCCTCTACTTTATATGGGTCCTGACGGTTCTGGACAAGCCATTCCTCAGTAATTATGCTAGGGGGGGATAATGGTTTCTTAGCTTCCAAGTAGTCATTCAGGCACTTCAGATTGCCCAGGTTTTCAATCTCCACACCTTTAGGCTGGTTGCCACGACAGTTGGTACAGGAGTCAGGCTTGACAAGCCAATCACTCACACTGTAGGACTGAAACAAGAGCTTATACTTCTCACTGGCCTCATGGCTGTCATTCTCAGGCTTCTCCAGCTTACGGGGCGCTTTGGGAGTCACTAGCCAATCAGACAGGTCCATCTCATCTTGATCGGGCAGCTCTACGTCTTCAACTTTTTCACTTTCACAGGAGAAAGAACTGGTACTAGAATGACTATTACACTTTTGATAATTTGGTTTTTCAGGAACTTCTTGTTGACTCTTCAGAAGCCAGTTTTCTAAGCCTTTTAGGTTGCCCCAGACATTACTGAAGAAACTGCAGGGTCTAGCAGATGTCTACATAAGAAGTATGTAATATTAGTTTGACAGAATAAGTGACGGCTTTGGGGATTCTCTCTAAATAATTTAGTGTCTTGCCTAGTATTTTTAAACCTTAGTATACAAAACCAACAAGCAAAGGATTTCTGCTTAGATACTAAAATACATATTTGATTATATGAATAATTTTATTTTCTATAGTTTTAAAAATGCTTTAAGAAATTAAAGGCAAACTGGGTGGTGCCTGTGGCTCAGTGAGTAGGGTGCTGGCCCCATATACCAAGGGCTGCAACAACAAAAGAAAGAAATTAAAGGCAAACTAAGAGAAAGTATTTCCAGCATATTTGCTGGAAAAAAAGCTAGTATCTCTAACATGCCTTTAAGAAAAAGAACACAAAATCGGGTGGCGCCTGTGGCTCAGTGGGTAAGACACTGAGGGTGACGGGCACCCTAAGTCCAAGAGCTAGAGGTTGCTATGAGCTATGACGTCACAGCACTCTACTGGGGGCAATAAAGTGGGACTCTAATAGAAAAAAGAAAAACACAAAAATGGGCAAAGGATATCAAGTCAATCATCAAAGAAGCCTTGAAAATACTCAATATCCTTATTACTTAAAGACACTCAAAACAAAAGCAAAATTGGTATTCTGTCTCAAATTCAGAAAGAAAAACTTATAAATGACTATTAGAATACTTTCAAGGAAGCAAGTACCCTAAGTACACTACTGGTGGGAACATAAACTGTTTCCAACTTCCTGGAAAGCTAAAACAGTATGCATGAAAAGTCTTAAAAACTATGCAGGAATTATAATCTAAGAATGAAATTTCTGGATTTTTTTTTTTTTTTGAGACAGAGTCTCAAGCTGTTGCCCGGGGTAAAGTGCCATAGCATCATAGCTCACAGCAATCTCAAACTCTTGGGCTCAAGCGATCTTCTTGCCTCAGTTTTTCTTGTTTAGTAGAGAAGGGGTCTTACTTTTGCTCAGGCTTGTCTTGAACTCATGAGCTCAAGCAATCCACCTGCCTCATCCTCCCAGAGTGCTAGAATTACAGGTGTGAGCCACCGTGCCTGGCAGAAATTTAGAGATGTTTACTTCTTAGGATGTAATCAAGAATGTACATAATTAGCTCCTGGAAGTTTAGGAGAACTTTGTTTATATCCAGAAAAACTGGAATTTAAGTTATATCAAATCAATGAAACATCACATATTACATAGTATAAAGATTTCACAGAAGAAATTAAATGACAGATATATTCATGATGTACTGGTAAAAAAAAAAAAAAAACTACTTACCAAAACAAGACTTATAGAATGTTTTTTTTTTTTACTTAATCCAGACATGGTTTTGCATAGAATGATTTTTTTTAAGTATATAATATTCATTTAAAAATTAAGTACACATAAAAAAATGTTAGTATTTATCTCTTTATGTTGGGATTAGGGTTATTTATGTGTAAATATATATGTATTTTTTACTTCCTAAACTATGGTGAAGCGAGGTCACTATTGTAATTAAAAATGTATTAAAATTTTCCACGCTACAACTAAAAACTAAACACACACACTACTGGCTAATAATCAATCTGCTACTACACCTACCATAGAAACAATAAAGACAGCAACACACCTGACTATTCTCCAAGGTCTGCTTCTGGGTAAGCCAGTCCTGAGGGTTGGTGCTAGGTATGTAAGGAACTTGACGACCACTTGAAGGTTTGCTTCCAAGAAGCCATTCGCTGAGAGGGACAGCTGTGATGCTGGATGCTGACTTCTGCTAATCACAAAATACTTTGCTGTTTAACAAGGCAATGTCAAATCCAGTATTCACCAGAAACACAAAAGACCCAAGTTCTTTAATCTTGTCTTGCCACTCACCCTAGATAAGTCACATGCCTTCCCAATCCTTAATTTTCACAGTAATAAAACAAGGGATATAGCTAATCACTAGGGTTCTCAACTAAAGCATCTAGGAGCCTTTATTCACATTGTCTTTAGAAATAAATCATCTCTATGGTCTCAACATCATGACAGGAAAAGAAAGAAATCATCTCTATGAATTTTGAGAAAATCCCCATGAGAACCGATACCAACAAGATAGCTAATAAGAATTTCCTATGAATTAATTGGTAATGATTACTTTCTCTCTTATTCAACACATCTAAATTTGTTTGATAGTCAATCTCAAAGGAAGCATTCAATTGCATTACCACTGATGGCCTTTTACAAATAAATAGTAGCAAAAAAATGCATTTAGCCAAACCTAATTAAGACGTATTAGTTACCAAAAACAAAGCTGACATTTTACCTGCTCAGGCACTGAGAGGTAGCCTCTTTTCTCTAGGAAGGGCCCAGTATTGGATGAAGTAGCATGAGCCATCAAGTGCTCAGGAACTTGCTATAAAATGAAGAGAATTTTAATGTTATTTATGCTATGCTTCCATATTGAAAAAGTTAAATTATAATTCCTAAATTTCAATAGTATTAATCAGATCACCACAATTTCACTAGAATAATCTTCATACTAAATTCAGTAACTTACAAAGTAGTTATTAAACTGAGACTACTTTACACCTATCACCATACAAGAAATCTTTACCAGAATTACTTTTTTTTTTAAGTGATAAAGTAGGATTTTATTAGAAAGGAATATAGGAGTAAAAAGCACCAGAGCTTCTCACAAAGGGAAAGACTCACTTCAGAAGTCTCCCCTACCAGAATAAATACTTTTAACAAGGCCCAAATGAGACTAAAGACCTTTTGAGTTCTTTATTAAAGACCATTCAAGCCATAAATTTTACAAGAAATGTCAAAAGCATTTAGATAGCATATGAGCTAAATTCCAAAGACCATCACGGAGTCAAGGCTATATCCTAAGAACTACCAATCTAATGTCCTTATCAATTTGTTCTAACAGAACATGAAATTTATGAAGCTAACCAAATTCAAGAAAACCACTAAGTTCATAGTAAAAATGTAATTCCTGTTTAAAAAGAGTCTCTCTAAGGCCACAGACTTGAGAAGAGCCCTATGAAACATGCAACAGATCAAGATTACTCACAATGGTCTTGAGGGACCCAAATGTGGTGATGGTCTGGCGCAGAGCACTTGTATCCGCTTCAAAGACCAGGACAGTTGAATCTTCTGGCTTCAGGGTCAAACTGGCTAGTCTAGGGAAAAAAACAAAATTTGGCTATTTTTAAGGAATATCTATTTCAACTTCTTCCAAAACAAAAGCCTAACTGTGAGTAATTTTAAATGACTGCACTTTTCTAAGCAACTCAACCAAAGGATACATGGCTTAATCAGGAGTATATAAAGCAGAATCATTTTATCACCACAACAGAAAAGTCAAATTAAATATAACACATGCAATGAGTTACAAAACTGACTTTCTTTTATTATACCAAGGCCAACAGACAAAAGTCAAAATAAGCAAAAAGGGTCTTTACCTCTCCAGGCACACAGAGACTTGATTGGCTAGATCTCTGTTTTGGGTACACTCCAGTTGATGAATAAGACAATTGAACTGGCCCAATAACTAAAAGAAAAATGAAACCATCTAGCCACAATGATACAAACTGCACCAGCATACAAACAGCACCTAAGATTAAATTTATATATGATCCATATTAATACTACATTACAAGGAAGACATTCTGGCAACCAGAAACCATGCTCAAACCAATTCTAGTCATGCAGCCACCTTACCCAGTAGAGCTGTTGGGCCTGCTGCTGAAGTGTCTCCTCTTTAAGCTGATAGATGAGGTCTACCTGTTCATATAGCCATACCTCGCGGCTTCGAAGGCATTCCAGGTGACGGCTTATGCAACTGTGAATCTGTGCTTTGACCTAGGAAACACATACATGTTAGCTTTCTAGAGTTGTAAGCCCAAAGAATAACATTTCATTTCCCCATTGAATAAGTTTCTTAAATTTGGGGGAATCATCTGTGGACTATCTCCCTGGGAAAACATATACAAATTTTTGCCTATAATTTCAAGGATTAGTGTCCTAGAACCCCTAAACCTACTAAATCCCTATAGGCCCCAGCTTAAGAATCACAGCCATAAAGGCAAACTTAAGGTCTAGAATCCTCCTTCAATCCCACTCTTTCTAAGAGGATTAGATTTCATTTGGGTATCCTAAAGTAATCAAGAGAAGATATGCAGCAAGATACTGATCCCCTCAGGTTTCCATATAACCTTAAAATCTATGGCTTTACAAGTGTATCAGAAGAATAAGTGTTATTAACTCTCTACCTAACTAGCCCTTATCTCTATTGTTCCTCCACAGAATGAGCAGTCCATCTACAGGAGGCCAATTTAGTAAAGATACGGCAACAGCTAAAAGACCATTAGGGTAGGTAATTCAATTAAAATTCTGAACTTAATGCTTCTGGAAGCATAAACTATGATCAAAATGGAGGACAAATACAAAAATCCCAAAGGAAAAAAGAAAACAAGCTATAGATTTATGAGAATCCATAATTCCTAAGAAATTTTTTCTCTGTGTAATCATCCAAAGTCATGTAATTCTTGGTTGGTCTATGTGCTCACCAACAAACTGCCATTAGAACTAACTACAGAATTCATTCTGGCTTGCTCTAACACAGTCATTTCACAGAACTATGCCACTAACAACTTAAAAGATGATGGGGGTTCGGCGCCAGCCGCATATACCAGGGCTGGTTGTTTGAACCCAGCCCAGGCCTGCTAAAACAACAATGACAACTATAACAAAAAAATAGCCAGGCGTTGTGGCAGGCGCCTATAGTCCTAGCTACTTGGGAGGCTAAGGCAAGAGAATTGCTTAAGCCCAAGAGTTTGAGGTTGCTGTGAGCTGTGATGCCATGGCACTCTACTAAGGGTGACATAGTAAAGACTCTGTCTCTGTCTTAAAAAAAAAAAGATGGAAAACATGCTTAAGTGCCATCTTTTATGCATCAAGGGGATGCAGCTGGGCAGTATACCACTTACTCATTTCATTATTTTTACTGATAAACAGTGTCTGCCTCCAGAACTACAAGAATTGCAATAAAAAATGCATGCTGAATAGAATTCTCTAGAATGGTACAGAAGTTTCCAGACTCTTCTAGCATCTGCCTTATTTCCCATTGGGATCAAAGGCACCAAGATATCAGGTGCTCACTAGGATTAAGCACACCATGGAGGCATAAGGTG